ACCCCTCTGTCCTTATTACTCCACCTCCCGGGGACGTTGTTGTTATTACTCCACCTCCAGGGATGTTGGCAAGGGCCTGTGGTGGAGGGCACGGTGCCAGTCTACTCCGGTTTGCTGTTCTCTGCACGGACTGGCACCAGATCCTAGACCCTTGATCCAGCTGGATGTGTGCAGCTGCTGACCCACTGACCCCCGCTGCAGGCTCGAGGCTGATTCGTTGTGAGGAGAGGTGTGGCCACTATGCTCTGAAGCCCGGGCCTGCCGAGGCTGGAAACCCCAGAGAGGCCGTGCAGCCCGGGACGGGGCATTCGGCGGGGAAGACACCGTGCAAGGAGCCGGGACGGGGCTCTGGCTCTGGCCTGCCATTATTAACACGCGGTCAAGCCATGGACCATCTCTTTGTCTACAAAATGGGAAGGCTGGGCCGCATGGCCTCTAAGATTTTGCCAATTCTTTAAAAAAAAAAAAAAAAAAGTACTTTATTGATTTTTTTTTTACAGAGAGGAAGAGAGAGGGATAGAGAGTTAGAAACATCGATGAGAGAGGAACATCGATCAGCTGCCTCCTGTACACCCCCTATTGGGGATGTGCCTGCAACCAAGGTACATGCCCTTGACCAGAATCGAACCCGGGACCTTTCAGTCCACAGGCAGATGCTCTATCCACCGAGCCAAACCAGTTTCGGCTGATTTTGCCAACTCTTACCTCTGGTCAGCGGTTCTCCAACTCTGGCCCATGTTAAAATTGCTGGGAGGGGTGGTGAAAACCCAGGTGGCGGGGCCCCACCCCAGAGCTTCCAATTCGGGGTCCTGGGGTCAGACCTGTATCTCTACCCAGGCTTAGATGACGCGGCTGCTACTGGCTCAGGAACCACACTCGCTGCACATTAGGATGACTTGGGGAGCACTAAACAGCGTGGAAATCAATCAGATTAGGCCCCGAGCAGTGAAATCGGTAGCTCGGAGCGGGAGCCTGGGCTTTGTAATTATTTAATATCTGCCCCCCGTGAGTTTTACCTTCTGCCAGGAGCAGGAACCGCTCGCTGTTCCAGAAAAGCGGCTGGGGATGTGACAGGCCATCGATTGTGCAAACACCGTATGTCCCTCTGGGGAAACGTCTCTCGGATCCTCACTCAGCCTCTCACTGGCTGCCAGGCTTGGAACAGCCTCCCTGAGTCTCAGTTTCCCCTTCTGGAAGTGACGTCGTCAGGACCGAATAAAACTGCCTCTCTGTCCTGCCCCTCCCTTCCCTCCTCTTGTCTCCAAGGAGAGCTTGTGCAATTCTCCTGCCCCGAGGCTGAGCGGCTGAGCAGAATTTAAAAAGCATTTATTAGAAAATCACAATGTGCGGATGCTGCCCCTAGTGATGTGGGAATACAAGGCTGAATCAGGCAGGTCCCCGCTCCAAGGAGCTCACATGCTAAAGGGGGCGGCAGGCATGTGTCCCGAACATGAAGCTGGATGGAACACTGGCCACACAGGAAGTAACCATGATGAAGGCCGCAGGTGAGGTACTTTAAGAAAGTTTATTTTTATTTTATTATTTTTTTAAAGAAGGGTATTATTATTTTTTATTTTTAAAAAAATATTTTTTGATTGATTTTTTACAGAGAGGAAGGGAGAGAGATGAGAGCTAGAAACGTCGATGAGAGAGAAACATCGACCAGCTGCCCGCAACCAATGTACATGCCCTTGACCGGAATCGAACCTGGGACCTTTCAGTCCGCAGGGCGACGCTCTATCCACTGAGCCAAACCGGCTTCGGCTAAGTAAAGTTTAATCCTCCCAACGACCCAGGGGACAGCTACTATTACAACACCCTCTTTCCAGGTGAAGAAACTGAAGCTGTCCCCAGTTACCCAGAGTTTGATGCCAAGGGAGCTCAGAGGAGGATACTGCTCGCAGTGCTGTGGGTAGAGGTGTGGGCATCACGCTTTGGAGGGTGTGTATAAGCTCAATGGGTACAGAGAGGAGAGGTATCCCAGCCAGAGGGAGCAGCACCCAAAGGCCTGGAGGAGGAAACCCCAGCTTCGTTAGGGACCCGGGAAGGGTTGGATCTGACTGAAGTTCAGGCTGATGGTGGGACACGGGGAGAATCAGATCCTGGTTGGAGGCCTTTTATACTGAGCGAAGGAGTTTGGATGTTCCATCTTAAGCAATGCGGAGTCATAGAAAATTCTTGAGCAGAAGGTGGCATTTTTAGAAAACAATTCAAGTGGGCATGGGTTATGGGAAAGGGAGCCCAATGAGGAAGGAGTGGCTATGACCACTGACCCATGAGAGGCAGTGAGACAAATGGGGGGAGGACAGGAAAGTGGGCACGCATGGGGGGTACACAGTTGCCACTCATGGTTCTTTGGGCATTGATCTCCTATGGGGACCTGTTTATTGACTGAGCCATTCTTCAATTATGAGAAGGGGCAGGGGATGGGAGAGGGGCAGATGGTTCTCCCAGGGCCCCACAGCTCCACATGCCTCAGCCCTCCATGCTCTTCCATGGTTGGTGGAGCATGACCCACTCAGGGTGAAGAACCCCGCGGAGCCAGGTGACGGCTCCTGGGTGGGCTCCGATCCAGCCACTGGCCACATTCCCAGGGTGGGGGTGGGGGACTGGCCCAGCGGCCTGAGCCGCCTGACCTCAGCCTTCCAGGTGACGTGTGCCACCCTGCCCACCTCCCACTGCCAAGTTCACAACCAGCTCCAGGTTCGCAACCTCTTTGCGTCACGCTGAGAGCAAACCCTTCTGGGCCGGAGCCAGTTCCTAGAAGCAGACTCTGGATGTGGAAAGAGCACGGGGGCTGGGATCCTGCCACCGGCTGGCTGAGTGACCTTGGGGACAGCCATCCCTTAGCCTAGGGGTGTCGAACTCAATCAGAGAAGGGGCCAAAATCTAAAATCCAGCCTAAATCGCGGGCCGAATGGTTTACTGAACAGTCATAAACTGTCATTGTGATGGAAACGCAGCGGAGTGCAGTGATGACAGCGCCGTGCGGGCCACATTGCAAGGCCTGGCAGGACGGATTTGGCCCGCGGGCCTTGTGTTTGACACATGTGCCTTAGCCCCTTAGATGTCACGGCTAAACACAAGCAGGACAAGAGCTGTGACCCCCGACTCCTCCTTCCCCCTCCACTTCTCCCTCCACCTGCCCCATTGTCTCTGGTCAACATCCCTGGAGAATCTCAAGACGGCACAGAGCAAGCCACGAATCAAAGTCCAAGGCCACGGTAGTACTTTAGCACATCGTACCCATTTTATAGATGACACAGCCGAGGTCCAGGAATTTCCATGACTGGCCCAGGGCCGATTATTTGAGAGGTTCCCGACGCAGCTCTCATTTCCTGGAGCTGGTCCTTCGGTTCGGTGCCCCAGAGCCCCACCATTTATCCAGAGGTGGGAGGGTAAATCTGTTGGTGGGAGGACGGGCAGACATCCTGCAGTTCCAGGGCCTGGCAGTGAGGAGTAATTCCTTGGCTGACGCGAAGCAGGGTTTGAGAGGCACGGGAGTATGTCCCTTCCCTGCATCATAGAGAGCGTGTTCTCCTTTCAGCCTCCAGACAGCAGGCTGGCGGATGTCTCCCTCGGATGCTAATGGGCCTTTCGCACCTCTCCAAACCTTGCCAATCTCCCCTTTTCACAGAGGACTCATCTCAGGCTCTGCCAGAACCCGTTTCCAAGTAGGATTTAATAACCTCGGCCTGTTTTCATCGTGTTTATTTTTACTCTTAGCCTTCTATTTATGGCAATGGATACCGGCTTCACGTGTAAGGCCGTGATAGAACGATTTCTCTAAAAAACGTGTTTAAGAAGGAAGACCTGGGTCTTGGATTTAAAAGCAGTATTAATAATGGCGTCTCGCAGAAACCGGTTTGGCTCAGTGGATAGAGCGTCAGTCTGCATACTGAAAGGTCCCGGGTTCGATTCCGGTCAAGGGCATGTACCTTGGTTGCGGGCACATCCCCGGTAGGGGGTATGCAGGAGGCAGCTGGTAGATGTTTCAGGCTCTCTATCCCTCTCCCTTCCTCTCTGCAAAAAAAAAAAAAAAAAAAAAAAAATATATTTTAAACAAATAATAATGGCGTCCAGATTTAGCACCATGAGATTGTCTGATGTCTGCCCTAGTCTCCAAGGTGGGAGACTGGAGATGAGAGACCCAAGGGCACCCGGTACTCCCTACTTCCCGGCAGGTCTCTCTCCACAGTGCTCCTCTCCCAGACCCGCTCGACCCGCAGACCTCCACTCATTCATTCATTGCGCTGGCCAAGGTGAGCCCGCGGCCCCTGCCCGCCGCACGTGCGCGGCCCATGTGGCATCTCATGGGGGCCCGAGGGCCCCCAAGACCTCGGGATGCGGCAGCTCAGGGCACGTAGCTGAGCACCTGGGTCTCCGCGATGGAGGAGGGCGAGGGAGCCCTGGCTTGGGTCCTACCCAGCGCCAGCACCTGCGGACCTCGGCCGCCCGGCCGCGGGACCAGAGGCCGAGGCCGTGTGCGTGTGAGCACGAGCGCCGACGTCAGCCTCCGAGGCCCGTGCCGCCTCCCGGGCCCGGCGCGCGCCCCCGGACGCCCCCGCAGCGGCTCCGGCCCCACGCGCCCGGGCACGCGGAGCGCCAGGCAGCGGCGTCCCGGCGGCCGGGGGCGGGGCTCGGGGGGCGGGGCCGGGCAGCGGGACTCGCCGCCCATTGGTCGAGCGCAGCGCCGGGGGCGTGGCGCCGGCCGAAGGCGGGGAGCCGGCTCCTGGAGGCGGAGGTCGGCGCGGGCTGCGGGACCGGCGGCTCCGAGCTGCGGAGCGGACCGGTGGGCGGCGGGTCGGCAGAGGGACTCGCACGCGGACTGCAAAGGGCGCCCCGATCTGTGCTGGCGGCTGCCGCTGGGACCGCCGTCCGGAGCCTGGTCTCCGACTCCTTTCCCGAGGCACCGTTGACCTTGCTCGGCGGGGCGTTCGCCTCGGGGAGAGGGACGGAGGGAGGAGCCGGGCCCCCGCAGATAGAAAGTTCGCCGGCACCGGGGGCCGGCGGAGGTGAAGTGGGAGGAGCGGGCTCAGTCGGACTCGGAGCTGCGAAGCCTTGGGGCGGCGTTCAAGGCTCCCTCCCACACGCGCGCGGAGCTCGGAGCGCGGCGCTTTGCTCCTCTCCAGCCGCCGGCATCGCCTCGCCCCGCAGGGCTGCAGAGAGGAGCCGTGGACAGAGCTGCCGAGCTGGGGCCGAGGAGGAGCCCCCGGCCGAGCTGAGCAGCACCCCAGCCCGAGCGACCCCAGTCGGGGTGGGCGCAGAAGGTAGCATCGGCGGCCGGGACCAGTGCGCCCATCCATCCACGCACGCACTCCGGGCCACCTCCAAAGGACCCTCTGGGAGTCGCTAGGGGTTCTCTCTAAGACCCCCTCCTCCCCCGAATCTCCCCATCCGCTCTCCCCCTCAGCCCGGAGCCCCCGGCGGGGACCCCGGGATCCGACGTCCCCGCGCCTCCGGGCACCTGGCTCAGCAGGAGTCCCCCGGGTCGGGGCAGGGCAGGGCCGGCGGCGGCGAGCCGGAGCCCGCCCAGCGCCCGGGCCCCGCCAAGCCTTCGGAGCCCACCCATGGGGCACCGGCTGCCCGTGTCCCGTCGCCCGGCTGCGCCCAGCCCGGCGGCCCGAGCGGCGCCGAGGAGGAGCCGGACGCAGTGACCGAGGAGCCGCAGACCCCGGGAGACTCGGCGGCCGGGGAGGCAGGCTGCTCCCCGCGACCGGGCAGCCCTCCGAGCGGAACCCGAGGCCAGAACCGCCCTCCGCAGGTAGGAGAGAGACTCTCGCGGGCAGAAGCGGGGAACTGGGGAAGGGAGGAAGCCATGCAGAAAGGTTTGCGGATTGTGGGGGGGAGGCCAGGTGGAGCCTGGCATGGTAAGCCCCATAGAACGACGGACTGTGCCCGGTCCGTCGGCAACTTGGCACATCTGGAGAGAATGAAGTTAGCTGAGCACCTGCTTTGTGCCAGGCCGGGTGCGAGGCCCCCTATTTGTGCCTGGTAAGAAAAACTTATCGAACTTCTATGCTTACCCATTGGTGCTAGAAGCTTCCATGGAAGAGCCCGTTTAAATAGGAGGAAACCGGTTTTCAGGGTTCAGGAAGGGGTACTTATGTTCCCCATGCTCCCCCTCTTTCCCAAGCCAGCTGTTGCTTGCACACCTGGAAGGAGGGTGGGGCTGGGATGTGGTCCTTCTGAGGTGCCCTCCGCTCCAGCCCCGAGGAGGACCCCCTCTGAGGAGGGAGGATGAGGAGCACCTTCCTTGCACAGAGCTCCTGAGCTTTCTCTGGGTTGGTGTGAGGAGTGAGTTTCCTGAGTGACTCCCTTGCTAGGGTGGGTGTCTTGTATGTAGCTGGCCAGGGGGAGACCCCAAGCACCTCGGTGGGGCTCCCTCGGACCTCTCCTCTTTGCCCCCAGCCCTGGGAGGAGGAGGAGGATGAAGGATATTGTACAGGGCCTCCTGGGAGGCAGGAGGCCAGGCTGGGGAGGGCAGCCAGCTCAGGAGCCCAGGAGCAGGTGATTCAGGCTTCCCCTGACATCAGGGAGACAAGACAGGGGTGGGGGGCCCCAAAAACCTCTGTCCCACCCCAGTGGCTGCTCCAAAAGCCCCTCGACCACACAGGAACGCCACAAAGCGAGGAACCCGTTTGCCGTGTGCCAGGAGCTCGGGCCAGCCCCTTTGCCCAAGGTCGCTGAGCTGGTGCATGGCAGAGCTGGTTTGCTGGCCGGTGCTGCCTGCCTGCCTGCTTTCCTCCATCCTGAGCCGCCGAGGGTGGTGAGGTCGGCTTTGCAAAGCCCCCAGAACCCATCTCAGCGTGGGCACAGCGGTTGGTGAATCCGGGTGTCCAGAGAGGCCGAGCCGTGCCCTAAAGGAGGGAGGAGGCTCGAGTTGTGTGGGAGGAGGGGGGGCAGGGCAGTGACGGAGCTCTCGGTGCTCACGGGGAGGAGGCCACGGCCACACTCTCGTCCTGCGGTCCTTGTCACCTGACCTCCGTCTTCCAGGCCCTGGGGGAGGGGCTCCAGGGAGAAGGGCGAGCCCACCCATGCATGTGCTGGGAGCTGGAGCAGGGTTTGCTGGGGAGCCGGGGCAGGGTGCCCACGCCCAGCTCCTGGAGGGAGAGGGAAGGAGACTGGAATAGGCCTCGGGGGTCATCTCCCCTGCCAGACCCCAAGGAGGCTTCCCCGAGTCACTGACTATTGTGAGAGGCTGTGGTTGGGTCTGGGGGTGGGTCTTCACGGCGGCCAGAGCCCAGGCTTTGGCACCAGCGGCCGGAAGTTAATCCCGGCCCAGCTAGCCTCTGCGAACCGGAAACTAGTCGATGGTGGTCCCCTCTTTGCGGGGCTGTGGTGAAGTCATTGGAATAAGTTACCCCAAGTACCCAGTGGCTGGGGTGACTCTTCCCCTGGAGGACCCCATCCCACCTCTGCTTCGGCTTTTCTGCCTGCCAGGTGCCCTTAGAATGGCCCTGGCGTGCAGAGTCTGCAAGTCACAGAACTGCATTCGGGGACTCACGCTGCTGCGATCTGGCCCCTTGAACCACCAGGTGGACTGTCAGTTCGAAAAGCGTTGAACTCTGACCCCTGTCTCCTCCCCACTGTGTGGGTGTCAGCCTGGCTGAGGGTAGAGGGGAGCAGGCAGTGCAGTAGAGAAGCTGAGCCCACAGCACTGCCCGCAGCTCCTCCTCTGGGGGAGGAGCAGGGAGGGATGGAGGCGGGAGGCGGAGCCCACAGAGGCGCTATCACCTGGCATCCAGGTGTCTGTGAGCCTCACGCAGCCCCACGTGGTTGAGGCCACGTGAAGGCCCACAATCTTCTCTCAAAGAAGAAAGCCCCAGATTTCCCCTCTCCTTGTTTGCCTCTCCTTGCCTCCCTGCCTCTTTCCTCTGACTCCCTCCTCCTCTCTCTGATTCCCTGCCTCCTCTTTCTCTCTCCTCTCTTGGAGCCTCCTCTCTCTGATTCCCTGCCTCCTCTCTCTGACTTCCTGTCTCCTCTCTCTCCTGCTTCCTCTCTCTCACTCCCTGCCTCCTCTCTCTGGGCCTTGGCCCATTCAGTCACTGATATCAGCATGTCCGTAAGAGGAGCCCTAGGGGAGAGGCTGGGTCGGTGGTGATGGAGACAAATACGTTCCTGGGGGCTGCTGGCCGCCTTCCCTCTTGGTCTAGACCACATGTGTCAAACACAAGGCCCGCGGGCCAAATCCGTCCCGCCAGGCCTTGCAATGTGGCCCGCACCACGCTGTCATCACTGCACTCCGCTGCGTTTCCATCACAATGACAGTTTATGACTGTTCAGTAAACCATTCGGCCCGCGATTTAGGCTGGATTTTAGATTTTGGCCCCTTCTCTGATTGAGTTCGACACCCCTAGTCTAGACAGAGATGACCACCAGCAGCCCAGCTCCCTGCACAGGGACTTGGGGAGCGGCATGCCTGGTGTGGAACCTCTTCCCCCCATCTCTGCTGGAGGCCCAGGCTGGCTCCCAGCCCCGAAGGAGACCCAGCACCTCGGTGGGGCTCCCTCGGACCTCTCCACTGCTGTGGATCCTGTATCCCCGGCTCCCCACTGCCCACCGGTGCCTGAGACCCTCCTTGCCACAGCCCCCGGGCCAGCCAGGCAGGGTGGGGGTGGAGGGAGAAGGCCCAGAGGCAGAGCCATTTGCTTCATGCATTCCTTCATGGCTCACTTATTGAGTACCAGCTGAGTACACGGCACTGGAATCCTATGGGATACATTGAAAGATGGCTTCAGACATGAGTAAGGTGGGGGACCTGGGGGCCTTAGCTTGGCTCCCTTATTAACTCGGGGGCCAGTCACGTAGCTTTTAAGCACTAGGATCCTTATTTGTCAAAGAGGACGATAACAGGTGCTTCGGAGGGAGGTGATGAGGAGACTCATAGCGCTGAGCAGACCGCCTGTGGTCCATCCCTCCTTCATGCTGGCAGGCAGGCTGTGTAACCAACAGTGAGTTACTAAGCTCCCCTGTGTTTCAGTGCCCTCCTCCTCCGTATGACGGGATACCTCCACCTGCCCTCCGGGATTACTGAGGGGTGAAGGGGGTTAGGACGTGTTCTCATCACTTGGGACATTCTGGAATTTATTAACTGCAAAATACATGCCAGCTGTTATTCGTCTACACTCAGCACAGTGCCTGGCACACGGCAGGGGCTTGGTTAGGGTGATGGTTATCCTGGCTCCAGGCCGGGGGGCCGGCGGTGTGCTGAGCAGCCTCGCTGGGCACATCTCTTTGCAAGTCATTCATTGACATCACCCTGGTCGCTTGGAATCAGCCACGGAAATTGACAAGCGCTAGCAATTAAGAGCTTTCTAAAAAGGTATTTTTGGAGAGCCGGTTTACTGCTCAGTGGCTGTCCGTCGGCTGGGTGGGCAGGATGGATGCCTGGATCCCCTGAACGGGACGTGTGCCAGGAGACCTGTGATAGGATCTGTCTCCACCTCGGGTCTCGGCCTCAAGGCAGACAGAGCAGTGAGATGCCAGGGAGAGCCTTCGAGTGTACCACATGAGCGAGGCACTCCAGGCCACTGACCTGGGGCATCCGGGGGTGGGGTGGCTGGAGCCAGCACGTCCACCCCTTTGTGACTTCTCGGAGCCCCCGACTTCCCCGCCTGCACCTCCCTGTGTGGCGGCCTGGGGGTCAGTATTTCAGGGGCCTGTGTCCATTTCTCATTCCTCTTCTCTAGAGAGGAAGGGATCCCTGCTGGGTGGGTAGGGGTCCGAGCAGCCTTCAGACGGGAGTAGCATTTGAGCCAGACCCTGAAACATACAAGGAATGGGGTGATCCGGGGGAGGGACTGGCCTGAGCTGGGGAGCCCAGCAGATCTCAGCAGAGCTCGAACCAGCTAGAGTGACGGAGGCTTAGGGGTCCTGGGGGGATTGTCATGGAAGTTGAGATAGGAAAGGAGGGTGTCTGGGCTGTGACTGGCCTTTGCCGGGGCTGATGGAGCTCCCGGAGGATTGGAGCTCGGATTTATTGATATTTCAGCCCCGTCCACAAGGCAGGGGGCTCCCATAGAAAGTTCTGGGTGTGTCGGAAGCGTAAACGCTCGGAATTAGAAGGACTTGAGTTGTTCATGGGTCATTTCTCTGACCCATATCGCCTAGTCCGGGTCCCTGGGTGTTCTGAGGGGGGGCAGACTCCCAGGGCCCGGGGAGAAAATCCGGGCAGCCCCACGCTCTGGCATGAAGGATGTGGTCTGGACACGGCCTTTCCCATGGCGTGTCCTGGAAGCACAGGCTTCTGGGAGGCCTGAGACAGGAGGGACGGGTGGCTCAGGGGGAGAACGGAATCTAACGAGTCAACATCTCAGATCTCGCTCTGCGCCGAGCTCTTGACAATAGCTGTGTGAGTTGAGTCCATTTTATAGATGATAAGAGTGACTCTCAGAAAAGTAGGCGACTTACCCAGGAGCAATAGTGAGTAATAAAATGAGGGTTTGAGCCAAAACCAGTTTGGCTCAGTGGATAGAGCGTCGGCCTGCAGACTGAAAGGTCCCGGGTTTAGGGCATGTACTTTGGTTGCGGGCACATCTCCAGTGGGGGATGTGCAAGAGCCAGCTGATCGGTGATTCTCTCTCATCGATGTTTTTAACTCTCTATCCCTCTCTCTTCCTCTCTGTAAAAAATCAATAATATATATATATATATATATATATATATATATATTTTTTTTTTTTTTTTATATATATATATTTTTTTTAATGAGGGTTCGAGCCCTCGCAGTGGGTGCTGGAATGAATAAGGGGCCAATGAGTGAGTGAGTGAATGAGTGAGTGGGTGAGTAAGTGGGTGGGTGAGTAGGTGGGTGGGTGAGTGAGGAGGTGGTGGGTGAAGGAGGAAAGACACGAGGGTATGAAGGAATGACTGTGCAGAACTCCAGAGCCGCTTAGAGAGACCCTAGCCCACCATCCCCGTGTCACAGACAGAAAACAGACCTGGTCAGGAGCCGGGCCGAGGAGCCCACAGTCTCCAGCGAGGGGCGGCCGGGCTGCCTCCGGGGCCTGCTGACGCCCGCTCCCCGCTCTCTGTCGCAGCCCCGAGCCATGATGAAGACCCTGTCCAGCGGGAACTGCACGTTCAGCGTGCCCGCCAAGAACTCGTACCGCATGGTGGTGCTGGGCGCCTCGCGTGTGGGCAAGAGCTCCATCGTCTCCCGCTTCCTCAATGGCCGCTTCGAGGACCAGTACACGCCCACCATCGAGGACTTCCACCGCAAGGTCTACAACATCCGCGGGGACATGTACCAGCTGGACATCCTGGACACGTCCGGCAACCACCCCTTCCCCGCCATGCGCCGGCTCTCCATCCTCACAGGTGGGTGCCCAGGCGGGCGCGGGTGCGCGCGTGTGGGCGTCTGGGCTCACTCATCGTCTGAGATCAAGGCCACAGCTGGCCCCGTGCGCCACGCAGGTCGCACCGGCGTTGCTGCTGTCTGAGCACATGTCGGTGCCAAGGCCCAGATTCCATTCTGTGCACCTCTGATCATTGGTCATGTCCCCTGGAGCTGCCTTCCTGACCTGGAGCTGACAGACGGGCTGGGGAGTCCCTCTCCCGGGAACAGAGGGGCTGCTGCCTTCCCCCTGCAGGAGGTGGCTCTGCGGAGCTCGGGGGCCCATGGCCAGTCTGCTGGGCTCCGGGCTCTTGACCTCCCGTGCCCTTTGCCCCCTCTCAGAGCGGTAAGAACAGGAGCCTGGTGAGGGCCGGCCATGCTAGGGGCTCGGTAGGAATGACAGTAATGGCGGTGGCGATCGCTAACACTTATTAAGGGCTGTGCGTCTGGGCCCACAGTCTTAGGGTTCAGCGTTTGTTTATTTAACCCTCACCGCTAGCCTAGGAGATGGATATTCGCCTCTGTGTTCCAGGTGGGGAAACCGAGGCCCAGCGAGGTTCAGTGACTCGGGTGGTAGCACAGCCGATAACCAGAAGTCTGTCTCATGCTGGACCACTAAGCTATCTGGTGGGAGGGAGAGGGAGATGGTTGGGGATGAAGGGGCAAGTGGAGATGGGGGCGGGGCCATCACTCACGTGACGCCAGCAGTTTCAGGGGGTAACGAAGGGGGCAGGCCTAGAGACCAGGATGCCTGGGTCCAAATCCTGGTTCCCCCGCTTCCTGGATTAGTGCTGGGTGTAGACTCCATCTCTTTGTACTTCACTTTCCTATCGGTTGTTGGCATCACGTTAGCACCCATCCCCAAGGCCATTGTGAGAAGGAAAGGAGTTAACACACGAGGAGCGGCTCTGGGTGAGCAGAGAGCAGGTGCTCAGGGGCTGTCGGTGGGAAGGAAAGCATTGCTGCGGAGGCACGTCCCAGGCCATTGCTCGGGGGGGTGGGGGGGGATGAAGGGAAGGAATGAGCAAGTAACCCGCTCCCCAGTCACCGACAGTAACCCTCCAGTCAGATGCTTCTGCACCGAGAAGCCCACATCAGGTCATGCCCACCCTCCCCTCCCCCCACACCCTGCTCAGGCCCCCTCGGGGTGCCAGACTTGGGGTGAAAGAGTCCATATTTCGGAGAGGCAGTGTGTGAATAGAAAGAGCCCTGGGTGGACCTGGGTTCGAGTCCTGGCTCCACCATTGGGGTGGCGTAGGCATGTGACTGGAGGCCTGAATCGCAGTCTTGCCAGCTGCTCCGGCAAAGCCTTGCCTCGTCCGGGAGAGGCTGAGAGGAACGGAGGAAAGCGCGTGGGGGCACCTCCGGCACACGGTGGATACTGCCGGACTGTCAGGCCTCAGGGAGGGGCCGGGGTGCCCACCCATGTAGCCAGGCTGACGTCTGAGGCAGGAAGAGGGGGAGATGCAGAGAGCCACCACAGGCAGGTTTTCAAAATCCATCTTGAACGACACAAACAGTGTATATACACACACACACCCTCCTTTAACCATACAGGCCAGGCCACAAAGCCTCCTCAACTCATGTCCCCTTCCCCAAACCCTGTCCCGCCCGGAGGTGGCCACCCCTCAAAGTGGGTGGACTCTCCCGGCCCTCCCCCATGGGCCCATTAGCATTCCTGTTTGAATCCCCGTGTATCAGAGAGCATTTTCGCCTGCTGCCCTTTCACGTGCATATACCATTCCGAGCACATCTGCCTGCCGCTTGCTGTTCCAACCTGGTGCTGGTGCACAGACACAGAACCATCCATTCCGCCGCCACTTCCCCCCCACCCCCCTAGCCGCCCCGGCCGGCTGCCTCTGCAGCCTGGCGCAGACTTGCATTTGAATGTGTCGAGGCTGCCGAATCCTCAGGGGCCTGGATTAGCCTAATGGGACGGGGTTGGCAGCCCAAGTGGAATCGGCTGCCAGGCTGGCACTGCCTGGCAAGTGCTTTTCTAAACAGCCCACACCGTCATTCATCCCATCCGGTCGCATCCATCCAGCCGGCTTTGTGAGCACCCGTGTGTGCCGGGCCTGGGAGGGAGGTGAGGAGGTGAGGGTGAGGAGGCGCCCCTGCTCCGAGCTCACTGTTCAGAGCACACCGTTGCCGGTGCTCAGTTCTGAGCGTGCCACGTGCCACCGTGGGGACGGGCGTGTGCTCTGGGTGCAGAGGGATGGGCGGCCGCCACCAGGCCTGGAGCCGCTTCGTTCTCCTCTCCGGAACGCCGCCCCTGAGCCTCAGGTCCCACATCGGGGAAGCAGGGATCTTGACATCTCACCAAAGTGAGGGCGGCTCAGTGAGTGTGAGGGGGCGGTCGCTGTGGGAAGATCTGGAAATCGGGATGAAGGCGGCAGCCCTCTCTGCCACCCCTGCCACCTCTACATTGTCCCTGTTTCAGACTCAAGGTCTCCAGTGATGCCATGAGCCGGACTAGGGATAGGGTGGCCCTTGGCAGCCAACACTTGCTGCTTTTTTTAAAAAAAATATATATTTTTATTGATTTTTTAACAGAGAGGGAGAGGGATAGAGAGTTAGAATCATCAATGAGAGGGAAACACTGACCAGCTGCCTTCTGCACCGCCCCCCCCCCCCCCCCAATAGGGATGTGCCCACAACCAAGGTACAAGCCCTTGACTGTAGTCGAGCCTGGGACCTTTCAGTCTGCAGGCCGACGCTCTATCCACTGAGCCAAACCGGTTAGGGCCTCGCTTATTCTCCAAGATTTATTCAAGAAGCAGACAGCACCTCCTGTGTGCTGGGCACTGGCTAGGTGAGGACAGACTTGGGCCGCCATCTTGGCCTGGCGGCATGGAGCTGTGGGATCTGGGGTGGGCTGCTCGCCCTGTCTGAGCCGCAGTTTGCACACCTGGACCACGAAGGTAGCACACCTCACAGAGGTCTCGTAAGGACCCAGGGGAATAGAGAGCGCCTCCTGTGGGCATGGAGTGTGTGGCCCGTGCCTGCTTCCTGAAGCTGCCTGTTCTCATGGTTGTTGTGGTACCCAAACCACGGGCTGGCGTCACTACAGTCATCTCCGGGGACCCTCAAGGTCATCCCACAGGGCAGTGCTTCATCCACACGGGGCAGAGGGGAAACGAGATCTGGAGAGGTCGCGTGGCCCCCCGAAGGTCACATGGCTGTGAGTGGAGGAGGCCAGATGCACCCCTAGGCCACCCGATGCCGCACCAAGTGCCTGCTGTGCATGAGGTGCAGCTCCCGGCCTGGGCTGTGCATTGAACCAGACCGGCAGGACCCCTCCTCCCGTGGACATTGTATTTATGTTATTCTACCACCGTCCCCACGAGCGAGTACGTCACTCAGCCCTGCAGGGACACGGGGGTGAAGGAACCAGGCTGTGCCCCCGATGGGCCGCGTGGCCTCCTGGGGTGGCGGGGGGACAGGGGGGCCTTTGGGAGCCGCCCGCATGCTCACCTCCCGGGCTCTCTCTCTCTCCCCACAGGGGACGTCTTCATCCTGGTGTTCAGCCTGGACAGCCGGGAGTCCTTCGACGAGGTGAAGCGGCTGCAGAAGCAGATCCTGGAGGTCAAGTCCTGCCTGAAGAACAAGACGAAGGAGGCGGCCGAGCTGCCCATGGTCATCTGCGGCAACAAGAACGACCACGGCGAGCTGTGCCGCCAGGTGCCGGCCACCGAGGCCGAGCTGCTGGTGTCGGGCGACGAGAACTGCGCCTACTTCGAGGTGTCGGCCAAGAAGAACACCAACGTGGACGAGATGTTCTACGTGCTGTTCAGCATGGCCAAGCTGCCGCACGAGATGAGCCCCGCGCTGCACCGCAAGATCTCCGTGCAGTACGGCGACGCCTTCCACCCCCGGCCCTTCTGCATGCGCCGGGTCAAGGACACGGACGCCTACGGCATGGTGTCGCCCTTCGCCCGCCGCCCCAGCGTCAACAGCGACCTCAAGTACATCAAGGCCAAGGTCCTCCGGGAGGGCCAGGCCCGGGAGCGGGACAAATGCACCATCCAGTGAGCGGGAGGGACGGGACGTGGGGGTGGGGCTCGGGCTGTGCCTGATGGGGGGCGGCCCCGATGCCCACATCCCCCAAGAGATCCCCCAATCGTTGGCACCAGACTGGAGGACCCCAGCCTTGAACCTCTGAACCTCTCTTGCCTCCCTGCCTCCTCCCTCTGATTCCACGGATCCCCCCGGTCCCAGTCCCAGCTCCGCCGGGCGGGGACTGATCTCCGCGGAGCAGGAGACAGGCTGGGAGACAGCTGGACTTGATTCAGGGACCCACGTCGAGTCTTCCGGCCCTTGGGTCCTAAGAAAACTGATGCCAGGACCCCTGCCTCCCACGGGGCCTCCTGGGACGGCGACGGGATGAGAACAGCACCCGGAGCAGCTGGGAGAGCTCGGCCGTCCTGGCGGGAGACCCAGCCCTGCCCCGCTGGCCGCCAGGAGGGCCCCTGCACGCCCAGTTCTGACACTCCTGCCCTCCGGCTCAGCTGTTTCTACCCCTGCCCCCCACGTGGGCCCCGGCTGCCCCAGATAGGGGCATGTGTGTGTGTGAAGGGGGTGCAGCCACGTCTCTGGGCCACATCCACCCCCGGGACCCTGCTTCCCTCCAGCCCCCCCGTCCGCTGGTTTACTGTGTTGTCACAGCTGTTCTCCCATCGTGTGTAGCGTAGGAATGAAACCCTCGTACTGTGAAAGCCTAGTGACCCCTCATTGGCCAGGCCGCCGCCCAGTTCATGTCCACTGCCTACCCCGCGCCCCGATGGGGTTCCGGAGCCCGTCTGCAGCTGGACACCGCCCTCCATCGGAGCTTTACAGTTCACACTCGCTCGAGCCGGGCCGGGTTGCTTCTGCCCCAGCACCCCTAAACCTCCCCCTGCCCCCCCCCCCCCCCCCCCCCCGCCAGCTAGTTCAGGACAGAGGTCCCTCTAGAACCAGGCTGTCCTTGGTGCTGGGTCCACTGTGTGCTGGAAACAGGGTGAGTGATGCACTTTATGACCCCAAGGCCGGGGCCTTCCCCAGTCCTGGCCGCCTTCCCCTCACCCGCCCCGCCTCCGCCCGCCCCTGCTGTCCCACTGCCTTCTGCACATACAGCCCGTGGGAGGCTCAGAGGAGCAGCTGGAGCCAGAGCCGCGCCAGGGAGAAGCCTGGGTGGGTCTTTTTCTCGTGTCTGGGAGGGGGCAGTCCTGGGTGCCGGGCCTGCTGGGATTTGAACCTCCAGACCAAACGCTCTCGTCATCAGCTCTTACGTGCACTTCGTATTTTAATCTCCTGAAAACATGGATGGTTAGGGCCACAAAGGACCTTAATAACCATCTAGTGACTCTTTCCAAGGCCCTGATTGGGTAAGCAACGTGCCCGAGGTCACACAGCAAGTCTATGCGTGGCAGACACAGGGCTAGGTCTGGGCATTCAGCACACACCCTGATGTGTGTCCTCTCCTCATGCTGCCTCTGAGACTTCCTGTAGGTTCGGTGTGCATTGTGCCCACATATGCAGTGTACACACATGTGAACACATACACACAAGCCCTAGCCTCAGCTCTGCACACCCTCCACCCCCACCCTGGCCCCTGCTGCTCCCTGCAGCGGCCCCGACCTGCATCTGTGCCCCTGCCCATCCCCGCCCCGAATCTTCCGACACCTTAGCCAGGAGAGGAGTGTGGCCTGGTCGTGCCCGGATCTCTGTGCGTTCTCTCCATTAAAGTGGGTTTATTTCTAAGCTGTGTCCTTGACCATGTGTGCTTCCAAGCGGAGGTGGCCTCTTCTCACCACAGCTGGCCTTTCCCTCCCCGAGTGGGACCTGCAGGGGTCCTCGCTCTGTGTGTCTTCAAGGTTAAGGACGTGGGGGGAGAGGGGGCATAAATTCCAAGCCTCTCCTAGCCCAGGTCCTCTTGGGACCGGTGCGGGTGCTGAGCGTCTGTCTAGAGGGGTGGCCAGGTGGACTGTCAGCCTGTTGGCGTCACCGTGTTTGAGTTCCGTGTGGCTCCTGTAGAGCCCAGGGGCATTTGGTGGTGTCTAGGAACGGTGGGGGAGGGGGGTCGTGCTCCTGGCCTCTGGTGGGAGGAGGTTAGGGATGCTGCTGAACCCTCCTGTGGCCGGGACAGGTCTGAGAGAAAGAGTCACCGCTTGGGCGGTCAGCCCTTGCGGGCAGGACACTGCCCAGGTCTGTGCATGGTTGATAAGACATACGACTTTCTGGACGAGCAGAGTGTGCCCTCCTGGGCAATGAGACGGGGCAGGGCTTGGGTGGCAGGTGGAAGGAGAGGGAGGAGGGAGAAGGTCTTGTCCTGGTACAACCCTGAGCGAGCCACCTTGGACCTGGTCCTGCCTGGGGAGGGAGTGGGGGGAGGGGGGAGGGAGCGGGCCGGGGCGGCTGCCTGCCTTCCACCCTCAGGTCTTCAGCTCTAGGAGAAACAAGATGGCAGAGCTGGGGAGGTGGCAGGTTGGGGAGCCCACAGCAGAGGCCATCGAGCTCCCTGTGGCCGAGGAAAGGATTTACATCGGAGTTGCAGGCGGGTCTGTGCTGCTGACCATCAGCAAAGGCCCCTGCGTGTCGGTGCAAGGCCTGGGGTCGGAGGGCAGGCCAGGCCCCTGCCTGCAGGGAGCTCGGGAGCCAGAGTGGGGACCCCTGCCTGCCCACTCACAGAGCGAGCTGTGCCCCCGGCTGTGGTGGAGGCAAAACCAGGTGACCCTGGGGGCCGGGAGCAGGGGAGGGCTACCCACCTCTGCCCACCCAGGAGCCCCGCCCCTCCATCCTTGGCCCACCCCAGCCTGGGGAGATTGGTGTGGGAGGCAAGTCGCTCCGATGCATTCCCACACCTGGTTTCTCCCTCTGCCCCTCTAGATGCCCTAAACGGGTGCACCAGAGTGAGCCTCCCATGGCATCCCCCCACCTCCCGCACCGCGCCCAACCAGCCCACCTCCTCCCTGTGCGACCCCAAGGGCTTCCGTCCTCGCCCAGGTGGGGAGGAGGCAGCCAGACCAGACCGCACACCCCCAGCCCCTCGCAGCCCTGTGCTGTCTACGGGAGAATTAATATTCCGATTACATAACCCGCAGCATTCCGATCGTTGCTAAACAGAACACGCTTGCTCCGGCCCCGGTCCCTGCAACCCACACTCCGGCCCTGGAGTGGGGTGAGCCGGCGAAGGGCTTTGGCAGAGAAAGATTTCCCCGGCAAATCTCTCCTTAGCCCTGGGACGGAGGGTGGGATCAGACTGTAGATAAATGCTTCTCATGGGAGAGAGACCCTTCTTCAGAGACAAGCCCAAGGCAGCCCTTTTAATTCCCGGTCCGAGGGAGGGAAGGCTGGAAGTCTGATTTCAGAGAATTCTGCACTGCAGATTCTAAGTACTCGTTCTGTTCCACCTCCCTGAACCTGCCACTTACTCAAAAGAATAAAAACCTTCCGTGTGCGTCACAGCTTGGCTGGGTGGGGGTGGGGGTGGGGATGTGTGTGCTGACAGGAGGCCAGCCAGGACTCAGAGGCAAAAGCTGCCAGGAACAGGGGAAGGGAAAGGGGGAAGGGGACGGGAACGGACCTGTGTTGAAGACCTACTGTGCACCGAGCATGGTGCTGTGTCTGTTACCGGTACCCTGTCATTAGATCCTCATGGCAAAGCTATGTAGAAGGATGCCGAATCCCTTTTTGCATATGAGGGAAGCGGAGGCTCAGAGAGGTAAAGCCACTTGCCCGGAGTTGCACAGCCAAGTGGCAGATCTGGGCTTGAATCCACATCTGATTGCAAAGCATGCTTCCTCCCCAGAGCTTTTGTAAGTGGGCCAGCTGGGGGGCTGATCTGGAGGGAGAGGCCAGCGGGTTGGACATGGTTTAGGTACCGGGCAGTTCAAGGCCAGAGGGTGGCTCTGCTCCACCCGGTCACTCAGGCTCCACCTGCACAGTCTTGTCACCATCGGCGAGGTCGAAGCCACAGCCAGGTCGAAGGTCGAAGCCACAGCCACGTTCAGGTTCCAGGAGGGACGAGGGAAACGCGTGCAGAGGATGCATCGGGCTGCTTTCGGCGCTGTGATGCACACAGAAGGTTTTTATTCTTTTGAGTAAGTGGCAGGTTCAGGGAGGTGGAACAGAACGAGTACTTAGAATCTGCAGTGCAGAATTCTCTGAAATCAGACTTCCAGCCTTCCCTCCCTCGGACCTTCCACTCACTTCCCCCTGACAGGCTCAGTCATGTGACCGTCCCTCGGACGAGAATGGCTGGGAAAGGGAGCTCCCTGCTAGGTGGCGGGGGCCCTAGGGGGACTCGTTACTGTGGAGAAAGCAGGAAGCCATCCGGAGGGCCGGCTGACAGTCTCTGCTCAGTCGCCTCCTGCCGTGGGTCCAGGACCCCACCTGCAACCTGACTTAGGCTCTGCTCTGCAGCCCCATCAGAGGCCGCCCTGACCTCCCCCTGCTTCTTTAAACGCCTCTGGCTCCCCCCACCCCCCCGCCCCACTCCGCCCCTCGGTGAGAGCAGACTGCCCCACGATTTTTCTCATCTATACTCAAGGCACTTCAGGTGGCGGCCAGCCTCAGGGAAGAATCCTCGGGCCCTGGCTGGTGGCTCAGTGGTTGGAGCACTGAAGGGCTTGGGGTTTGATTCCCGGTCAAGAGCACATACCCGGCCCAGATTGGGGTGTGTGCAGGAGGCGACCATTCCATGTGTCTTTCTCATATCAATGTTTCTCTCTCTCTCTCTCTCTCTCTCTCTCTCTCTCTCTCTCGCTCGCTCGCTCTCGCTCTCGCTCTCGCTCTCGCTCTCCCCCCCCCCCCCTTACACACTCTCTAAAAATCAATGGGGAAAATACCCTCGAGGAGAGGATTAACAACAAGAACAAAACTTCCTCAGCCCATGAGGGACATCTCAGTCTTCCTTCAGAGGACTTTCCCTTCTCCCGGGCTGCGGGCTTCTGTGCCCCAAAGCTGGGGAAGCTGGGATGTCTGTCCTTGCCTGGAGCCGTGGGCCTCACAGACGGTTGATGCCCGCCATGTGGTGGGTGTTTAACAAGGGCACTGGAACAGCGGGGTGATACTGTGGATGCTTCAGAGGCCGTGTAAGAAGTGCCAGCCAGAACCATTTCTGTACCGGGGAGGGTCCCTGCCGGCCACCAGGGGCGGCCACACACCCGATGTGGCCCCACCGGCAGCATCAGCTCCGCTGGGTGCCTCTGAGGAGCCAGCCCCGGGCATGTGGCTTCTCCGAACCTCCGCCTCCTCACCCCAATCTCAGGATCACGTCAGAGGTGTACACGAAAGCACCTGGGACTGTGTCACGTGGGGTGCAAACGCTGACCACTTGACTCATGGTCACTGGGGGTTTTAAGATGTGGTCCCCCAATTCTTTGTCTCACCTCCCTCCAAGAGATGGGGTCCATGTCCTCCCCCCACCCCCACACACACACCACCTTGAGCCGGATGAGCTCCTGGCTGCCGGGACCAATGGAGAGCGCAGGCGTGATGCTCAGTGAGGTCTGGGCCAGCTCGGACAAGGCCACTCAGCTCGGCCTGCTTTTCCCGGTTCTCTCCAATCGGGATGCTCGCTCAGATCCCAGCTGCGGGGCCGTGAAGCCCATCTTTGTGAAGAGGCCAGGCTGTGGCGCTCCGAAAACTGTCCTCGCTGAGCCCAGCACAAATGCCAGACACAGGCTGGCATGAGGCTCCAGGGGACTCCAGCTGCAGCCATTCCCACCTTTTGGAGCAGGGATAAGCCCATTCTGGCTACAGGAAATGTGTTGGTGGGGCAGGAAAGGGGGTGAGGAGAGCAGGTGGGAGGGGGTTCCGTTATCCAAGTGGGAGTTGATGGCATGAACCAGCCTCTTCTGAGACACGGTGCAGGGATGGTGAGGAGAGGGCGATTCCCGGGGGCAGCACTGAAGGCCTGGGTCCCAGCCCAGGTGTGGGTGCTGCACTGGCTAGAGAGTCCAGGGTGGGGCTCAGAACTGGCATTTGGGCGGCTGGGTGGGTGATGGTGCCAGGCACCGAAACGAGGGCTCCAGGAGGAGAGGGTGCTGTTGGAAGGCCATGTGTGATGGAGAACGGGGGGAAGACGAGTTGAGTTTGCACCCTGGGGAGTTTGAGGTGCCCCGGGCATCGGCAGGAGACTGGAGGGGAGGGTTCTGAAGCTCAGGAGAGTCTGGCCTTGAGTGACACATCTGAGGGCCAATCAGACACGGGGAGAACGACAGTTAGACAGATGGGGGGAACAAGGGACCTGGAGGAAACCCCAAGTCCAGGCAGAGGACAGAGGAGGAAGAAGGAAGAAGGGAGAGGTGGG